TGTCTGCTCATGAATAGTGTTTTTTGTACTATTCACTGTAGCAAAGGATAAGCCTTCCTCTTAAGGCTTGACACGCACTCTAACCCTACCATATTGCATTAAATGAACATTTAATGCACTAGGTATAAATAGAAGTGTTTCTTCTCCATGCAGAGTGCGCACAACTCACTCTCTAACCCTAATTCTTACTTCAAGCATTTTCTAGCTTAAGTAAAGGATCTTCTTTACAAAAATTTCTTTTCTTATAATTTGCTAAGGTTTTGTGTGTAACCAAAGATTGTTTAGATAGGTTTTTATTACCTTATCTTTTCGCAAACAATCTTGTAAAATCTGTATTGATCTTCTTTATCAATATATATTTTAAATTTGAAAATACTGTGTTTGTGTTCATCCCCCCCTTCTACAAACTGTTTCTCTTCAAGATAAATGGTGGAACTAGTTCTTCTATAGCTTTGTCTGCTGGATTTTGTGTTTACGTTTCACCCCAAGTCTTACACCCGTGCTACCTTTATTATTCTGTTATATTTTTCTTGTTAACTTAGAATCAACTTGAAATCTTCATTTTCGTCATCTGAAATCTTTTCTTTTATTGGACTCTTATTTAACTTTTGCTACAATCCTCGTGGACGATAATCCAGTACTTGCACCACTTTATTACTTGGAAAGACGATATTGAGTCATATTGTATACTTGTTTTGTGGCCAAAATTTATTAGTCTAAAGGTGTTAGTGCCCGACCATTCTTCTCATGAACGTAACCTTGAAAGAGTTACTGGTTGGCAACCTTTGAGTAGCTCTAACGCGACTGCCAGTACTCAACGTGATGCTGAAATGCAGTCTGAGGAGAATAATATAGGCAACAATGAATCTCAATCCTTGGGTCTCATCTTTGAGGGTACTCAGGGTTTACCGTCAACTTTAACCCAGACTGCCAGAAAGTCCACTAGGGTATCTATTTTTCCTAGAAAATTTGATGACTTTATTGTTGAAGGAAAAGTTAAATATGGTTTAGAAAATGTTGTGAATTATTCTCATCTTTCATTTGATAATTTGTGTTTTTTTTTCTAATCTAAATAAATTGTTGAACCTAAAACCTTTAAAGAGGCTTATAGAGATAGTAATTGGACTAATGCTATGGATGATGAAATGGAAGCCTTACATAGAAATGGTACTTGGGTAATTACAGACTTACTTCTTGATAGGAAAGTTATAGGATGCAAATGGATTTACAAAATAAAATGTAAATCTAATAGGAAAATAGAAAGATACAAAGTTAGACTTGTTGCTAAGGGATAGAGAGAAGGTCTCGACTATGAAGAAACCTTTTCTCCTGTTGTCAAAATGGTTATTGTTCATTGTATTATAGCCTTAGTTGTCCAGTTCAATTGGACTTCGTATCAATTAGATGTTAATAATGCTTTTTCTATATGGGGATTTGATTGAGGAAGTTTATATAACGTTACCTGAGGCTATTACATTCCAGAGGATAAGCGTGCATGTAAACTAGTTAAATCTCTGTATGGCTTAAAGCAAGCTCCTCGACAGTGGTATGTTAAACTTTCTTCTTGCTTAATTGATCATGGTTTCATTCAAAGCATTAATGATTATTCTTTGTTTACTAAAAGTGTTGATAATGTTTTTATTGTTTTGTTAGTATATGTAGATGACATTGTTATAACTGGAAATAGTCAAAGTGAAATAAACAATGTAAAAGAATTCTTGAAAAATAAGTTTCTTATAAAAAGACTTGGGAAAACTAAAGTTTTTTCTAGGAATTGAAATTCTAGATTGTGTTGATGGAATTTGCATATCTCAAAGAAAATATTGTCTTGAATTACTCAATGATTTTGGATATTAAGGGTGTAAACCTTGTAATACTCCCATGGACATGAATTTACTCGTAACAGATTCTAGTAGTTCTAAAGATCCTCATTTAACTGATTATACAGGTTTTCAAAGTTGATTGATAGATTGATTTTTCTTCTAGCTACTACACCTGATATTGCATTTGTTGTTCATTGTCTTAGTCAATTCATGCATGCTCCTAGACAATCTCATTTGAATCTTGCTCTTAGAATTCTCAAATATTTGAAACTATTTCCAAGTAAGGGTGTTAGTTTTACTAGATCAGAAAGTTTTTGTTTAACTGCTTATGTTGATGCTGATTGGGATAGACACTTTGTTACTGGTTTCTGTCTTTTTCTTGGCAATTCTATGGTTTCGTGGAAAAGTAAGAAAAATTATATTGTTTCTCGCTCTTTTGCCGAATCTGAATACCGTGCCATGGCTACCGCTACTTGTGAAATCATTTGGGTTCTCAAAATTCTATTAGATTTAGAAATAAAGAATTTACTTCTTGTAAGTTTGTTCTGTGATAATAAATCTGCTATCCAAATTGCCAATAATCATGTCTTCCATGAGCGTACAAAACATATTGAATTTGACATTCATAAAATCCGTGAAAATATAAGTAAAGGGTTATTAAAAGTGGGAAAAATAGTTTCTTCTGAACAACCAGCTGATATTTTCACAAAAGCTCTTGGCGTCAATCGTCATAACCTTTTATGTTCAAAATTAAGGATGATTGACTTATTCAAAAGTTAAGATTGAGGGCGGATGTTAAAATATGTTTTATCTTTAATCTATCTTAACTTTTGTTCATTTTATGTCAGGTTTATATTGATAAGAATTGATTATGTCAATAGTAGAATGTCGAAGGGCTAAAGGACCGTGCCTCAACTTTATGGTTTCTTCAATGGTTGCAGAGTAATTATAGGAATCTTTAGGGTCTCTTTTGTAATATTTTTCATAAATATAAATAGGGTTTTTTTTTTCTTTAGAATTGTAAGATTATCATTCATCTTCATTTGTATTTTCTCTCAACTCTCTCTCTCTTTCTTTCTTTCTTTCGTCTTCTTCTTCTTAGCTAACCTAACTAAGGTTAATGAGTTGATTAGAGTTTATATGTTTGTAATATGTTGATAAATAAGGAATAAAATCATTTGGTTATCTTTTTTATACAAGTGTGAGATTCGCCTAAGATGTTACAAACACCCCCTCTCAAGGACTCATCATACCCGATGATGTTTGCCCCACCATACCAGATGATACATGGATCTGGTACTATTTGTAACACTCCAAAGCCCAAAGTAACGGACTGACCCAATAACTTCGAATTCAACTTAAAATCATGGTAGAAGTTATTGGTAGCCCACTACTTGAGACTTATAAAGAGCTAACAATTCCCACATTCTATCCATGTGGGACGAGTTGTTACAAAATCCCCCACTTAAAAATCTTGACGTCCTCTTCAAGCCTACCCAAAATTTTCATCCTTGTCATCGGCAATATTTTTAAAATATGTTTTATCTTTAATCAATCTTAAATTTTGTTCATTTTATGTCAGGTTTATGTTGATAAGGATTGATTCTGTCACTAGTAGAATGTCGAAGGGCTAAAGGACTTATAAGGAGTTAACAATTCTCACATTCTATCCATGTGGAACGTGTTGTTACATTTAGTATTATGAGTTCACTTTTCCTTACAAACTATATACATATCAATTCTTATCACTTTGAACCTTACTAAGATTTACTCGTGAATGTTTAATTTAATCAGTGCTATTTTGGCTTATGGATGTCCTTTGACATAAATGGTGAAAAGTAGCCTTGTTGGGTGATCTTCTTGATTTAATATCTTAACCTCATTTACTAGTTTGCTTTATCTTCCCTACCACAAATGGTGTTTTGGCACAAAAGAGGAATAGTTAGCACTTGGGTGATTGTGAGACCCCCACTTAATGGCAACTATCTATATTTGGGGGTGAAAGATACTTGGTAAAAGTATTATGTTGTAATTTCTATGTGTTGTGAAATTATGTATGTTCCTTATATTTTTCAAATTTCCAAGCTTGATGCAGTTATGTTATAACCCTTATGCATTAGGGTTAGAGGCGTTGAGTTATCAAGTAAGTTGTGATTGCACTTATTTTGAATGCTAGTAGATAGTCACTAAAGTGCAATAGGATCCCTAAGGTGGCACTTATCTAGAAAATGGGTAGACCCTAAGATCCATTAACCTTAAGATGAAACTCGTTGGAATAGATGCAAAAGGTATTGGGGGCTTGAAGTGACGCCCTGAATGGAGATGTCACATAAAATAATGAAAAAGCTCTACCATTACATTACATTACTTTTAGGGTGTGTTTGGTGACAGGACAAGATAGGACATGACAAGATAGGACATGACAAGATAGGATATGACTTGATAGAACAACTGTTCAACGTTTGGTAAGATAGAACTAGACATAACATAATAAGTAAAATGACCAATTTATCCTTGATGAGTTGTTTATTTTAATTAATTTATGTAATTTATTAAATTATAATAGAATAACTATTTTTTATAACAAAATATATCATTTGAAGTTTTCGTCAAAACAATTAAAACGACACCAAATAAAAAGTTTATGTAGTTTTCTATTTTTATCTCTTTTCTACATTTTTTTTTTTATTATTAATATATAATAAATTACATAAATTAATAAAAATATAGAAATCATATAAAAATAATATTTTGAAGACAGTAAAATGAAAATTTAAGAAACATAAAATACAATAAATAAAATTTAAAGAATGAATAAAATGTAAAAAAGAGACTTATTTGATGTTTTAGAAGAGAATTAAGTTTTATTTTGAGGTTATATTATTAAAATATAAGTCTGTTCCATGCGGTAGGGGTGGAATAAGTCTGTTCTACTTTGTTCCGGTCTGTTCTACATAAAATTCATGCCAAACATGAAACAAAGATCTCTGTCATGTTCTATCATGTCTCTGTCCATGTCCAGTGTACCAAATGCATCCTTCCGGATGTCGAATTTCCATAAAAATAAGGCCCATAAGGCCCTTGGTTAAGGTGTAATTTGGGCCCGATTGCCCTTTATTTCTTCTTCTTGAAAGAAAATAGATCCAAAAGAAAAAGGAAAAAGAACAATCTGACTTCCCTTCCCACCGACCCAAGAGAGTACAGATTCCAGAGCTGGCTGCAACCATCTTCAAACGACTCTTCCCTCCCACAACCCGGAGTCGGAGCCGGAGCCGGAGCCGGTTGCCCTCTTGTTTTGCGATGGATTTCAACATCTTCAAGTTATGCTCAGGCCTCAAATTCCTTGGCTACTTGATGATCCTCCTCGTCGCTGCTATTATTGCTGTTTCCTACTATGTTGTAGTAGTCATCACCTGGGGTCCCCAACTCTTCCACGGTGCTTTCAAATCCCTATTGTCTTTCTCCATCATCATCTTATTTCATCTCCTGGTAACTTCAACGCTCAACTACTTCAGATCATCTCATCTTTCCCTTATTTCAATCTAACAAGTTTCCCCAATTGGAAATTTAACATCTTTTTCTTCATCAATTTGCATGCCACTTTGTTAGACTATGTCTTTTGTTGATTGGCATTTACACAAGCACCGTTTAAACCACACCTCATTTGCTTTGTTGAAATTGATGAGCATGACATTGTGTGAATAAATTGTTGGATTTTGTTTCGTCTATATTTTCTGCTTAATGGAATCAGTTGTCATCGGAATTGAACGTCTATCTCGGTTGGTCATAGCCACAAAATGTCCACGGGTGAATTGTTGAACCTGTCTGTAAGGATGCTTATAAACTGCTTACAACTGTTGCATCTATTGGTGAATTGCTACTTACCAAATTTCTTGTTTAAATCTTTATGATATAGATTAGAATAGAAAAATTAGTAAGTCAAAATAGTTATTATACAAGAATCAAAACATGATGCCAAATAACATTTTCATAATACTATAATCTGGCCTTCTAAGTGTTACAGTGGAAGAGAATTGACTAAATTTACGTCTGCACCTAGAAATTCTTGAAAACAAGGCTTAAATAGAGCTTACGAAAACTGAAAAGCACTAAAAAATAGGTCCGTGAACCCATAACTCACTAACCAATAATTAAAGCTTTCTAGGTAGACTGAAAAATAGGAAACATGGCATAGCTAGCTGATTATTTTGATTCAGTCAACTAACACTCTCCTTTGACTCAAAATCACACACACCCGGCTGCATCTGAAGAACCAATGCTTCGCTTGAAGGAAAGATTTTGTAAATATATCCATATTCATTCGACACTTATACAGGCATAAGGTTAAAATGGTAATTTTTGTTGTTCAGATTATTTATTCAGGACAAAGATCAAACAACAATTTGTCTTAATTTATCCAGATAGATTAATGCTTAAAGACAACTTAATAGATTCAGAACTTAATGGATAAAAGATCAAACAACCGCTAACCTCAATCCCTTAACTCTTGAATATCAAATAAGAAGCTTCACTCCAGATAATTACCAGGCTCACAGACTCTTCGAAGCCAAGACCCCTTCTAAAAAAGGTATGAACACGAGAGCCCTTCTTGGGAAAGCAATGGAAATACATACCCCTTTACAAAAACCATAAAAGGTAGAAAAAGCAACCAAAGCGGATCTATAGATAGAGACCACGAGGGGAGAAGAACACCATAATTCACAGTACCAACTGTATATCGAAGAATTATTTTTGTTGCACCAATGTGCTCTTTGTATAGGGCTGTGTAGATATCGAGACATTGCACTGTCAAAAATTAAGTATCAGGCCTGGTGTGTGTCAAATAGTTCAAACCACCAACAAGACTTCTAAAAACCCCTGGATTGGCTTTTTCAGTCCCGTCTTAACACTGAAACCTCTTATTGATATTCTTGGTGTTGTTGATACTTCACAATTAGACAAGTTAAATTTCTTCAATAAGTCGGCAACACACTTCTTTTGACAAACAAAATCCCATCTTTCCCTTGCATCAACTCAAGCCCCAAAAAAGTATTTTACTACCCTAAATCTGTCATCTCAAATGTTCTCATCATGCAAACTTAAAATAATCATATAAGGAGTTAGATGACTGTAAATAACATCATATCATCCACATAGAGGCAAACTAGCAAAAATTCTCAATTACCTTGCTGCCTAAGGGAAAAGTGGGTTCATTCTCACTTCTTTTAAACCGGATTTCTCAAAAGGAGTCAGTCTTACTATACCATGCATGTTTCGGAATTTGAGAACTCTGTTCTTAGAGGCTAGAGCCATTTATAATGAGGCCTTGAGGTTGAGCAACATACATTTTTTTATCCAAATAACCATTTAAGAAAATGCACTTCACATCAAATTGAAAAACAATAGGTGATAATGGGCAGCCAATGCGAAGGTAATTATCACTGTTCCAGACCGAGCAGTAGGAGAATACGTCTCCTCAAAGTCTGTACCTTGTTGCTGCCAATACCCTTTTGTCACGAGTTGCACTGTGTGCTTTTGTACACTTCCATAAACATGATACTTGGTTCAAGAGCCCCACAACATCTTGGCTTTAGGAATGCCGAACAACTCCCATGTTGAATCCTTTTCAATGGCTTTTATCTCTTCTGTCATAGTTTTTTGCCACTTAGGTCACGCAACAGCTTCCTCATAGCTAGCTGGGTTCGACACATACAAGGCAAAATGTAAGAGTTTTGAAATTTCAGTGAAAGAGTGAATTTCTCTGGAGTGTCATCATAAGTATCACTAGGTGGTGTACTTTGTAATGAGCTGTTGTTGCTTGTCCCTGAGGATGCACGGTTGCTGGTGGTGTTGCTTGGTGATGAAGGGGCAAAGTTTGTAAGACCACCATCGCATTTAGGGCTTTGGTGAAGAATTTGCAGTCACCTGAGATTGTTGGTAACAGATCTTCAATGTTCATAACAACTTGATCGTGGCTTCTTTCGGTTATTACATTTTCAACTAGCTTCTTCATTGAACACTCATACTACTTATCACTCGCCATGAAAAGGGTCATATAAGCATTCTGCTTTGGATTGAGGATTATAGGCGATGAAAATACATTTTATGGTTTTATCATCAAGCTTTGAATGAGAATTAACCATAACATATGCTATACAACCAAAGACCTTTAAGCTTCTTAGGGTGTATGATTCATAACAACCCTTGTTGGAGAGATATCTCAAGTATCAAGATAATTGATCGAGTTTTAATATCACATCCCATGATTAAACGGTTCTACCCTGGATCGGATAAGGATAGGACCATAGTTGTGAAAAGCGCGCCTGAGGCGCAAAGGATTGAGCTTTTTTCCATGTCAAGGTGAGGCGAGTTACTGAGGCGCACGGAGGCGCAGCGCCTTGGCTGAGGCGCAAAATGGGCTTAGGCGCGCCTTATACAGATCTGCCCTAAATTCAAATAATTTTCTTGTCTCTTAAACTTCTACAAAGAATTGTTATTAAATATGTCAAAACCTAATATTAGTTACGTCTTTTAACCTCCTGGACTTCTATAAAATGAGTTATTAGATAAGTCTATTCAATTCTCTATTCAATTCTAATTAGTCATCTCCTATAAATACCTCCCATACATACGTCCCATACATTGTACTCTCCCTGACGGCTTTAAACCTTATACTTTTTTTTGGCTGCCTTGTGGAATTTGAAATTGAACTATGTTTTTATATAATGGTATTTTAGTTGATATTACTACTTTCTATATAATAATATATGAGTTGTATATTACTATGTGTGTGTGTGTATATATATATATTTTTTTTTATACAATGCGCCTTGCATTCTGAGGTCCGCGCCTCACTCCTAGGCCCCAGGACCCCTTTGAGCCTAAGTGCGCCTTGCGCCTTTAACAACTTTGGATAGGACCAGTCCATAGAAATATTTTGCAGATTTGGATGTCTGAGCTCAATTGAAACATCTTTGAAAACATCCAGGATTCCCCGCTGCTTTTGTGTAATAGATGATGAAACAAACAAAAAAATAAATGGGGTAGTTATAAAATCATGGACCATAGACTGTCAGGACCATATCGGTCTAGTTTTCAGAACAAGGACCTGTTAAGGACCAAGTTTTTTTTTGGCTTATAGGGATCGGTCCTTGTACATCTCTACTTCAAGCAGTATAAGCATCATCCAGACATTATCTCTTACATTACGATTTATTACAACTGATTATTCAATATCACAAAATCACATTCAAAATGCACTCCAAATATCCCCAAAAAACGACACAGGTTCAATAATTTGGAATGGAGGAAGTATATTTAATTGATAGTTTTTCCACTTCTTTCTAAAAAACACTATACATACAAATGATGACTTTAATGATGCTTTTATATTTCAATGCTAAATCTATGACCCTTACATGATGATTAAATAAAGAAAACTGGGGAACATCACCATTCTTAGTCCAAACATGAATGTCTCTGTTCATCTTAAAATGTACAAGAAACGCAAGTATACCTCTATTGTACCAAGCTATATGCTTTTCATGAGGAATTTGAACGGGTTCTAATATCACATCCCATGTTGCAGCTTGTCTTGTTAGCATGGAGTTATATCATGGTAGTTTCCCAGAACCCTGGCTCTGTTCCTGAAAACTGGAAACCAACATCAGAGGAAAATCTAGAAGCTGGCATCTCTACATCACTGTCAGATTATATGGTACTTGATAATTCTGCTTCTACATCTTTAGATGTGCCTGAAAGTAGACAAGCTTTGAGCTACTGCCGTTTTTGTCGAAATGGGAAGCCACCACGCTGCCATCATTGTTCTGTTTGTAAGTTATTTATAGTATTCAGTTGAACTTGGATGTTGGTAATACTAACATTTATGCATGTCCTGTTAAATGCCTCTCGATTTTCCTGCTTCCGTCTTTGGGTTGTTTGGGTGAGTCATTTTTTGCAATATATTTTGTTCCCGTAGCATATGATATACTTCATAGTTATTGACAGTGGAAACATTTTATGGGAATATGGAAGTTTTTTCCGTATATTTCTTAACCAAAGGTAATAAAATCTAAACCTATAAAAAGGAAAGAATATACAATTATATGATCAAATCTTCAAAGATTTTATATGAAATGAAATCTCCGTGACTTGATATAAAATTAAATCTCCGGTGATTTGATTTCCTTCTACACTCCCCCTCGAGTTGAAGTTGCTTATGAGAATGCTTCTTGGCTACATAATTTCACATGCTTCTTGAGCCATAGCCCGAAACTCAGCTTCTGCACAGCTTCGAGGTACGACCTGTTGCTTTTTATTTCCCCACCTTACTAAATTTTCCAAACAAAGTGCAACAAGCTGATGTAGATCTTCTGTCTTCTGCACAATTGGAATCTATAAAACCTCCACCTGCCTATTTTGACTTCTGGAGGAAGCAAATTCATTTGCTGGGCTTTATTTGAGGCAGTGAAGAGTCCTGTACACTGTCTTGAGATGATCTCCTGAAGGAATATGCATGAATGAACTTACTAGTTCTACTGCATAGGCATGAGGTGGCTCAAAATCTTCATTCTTAAGACTAATATCCATCTATTTTAGTGCTACATATGCCGCTAACAAATAATTATGTTTATATTTTTATTAATTAACTTATTTTGATGTAAGCTTTACTATGTTTTTAATTAGTATATTTTAATATATAATCTTTGATAGAAAACTAAATGCATCGTTGTAGTCGTCTCACTTTTGTCTACAATCTACGCATATATGTGATTAAACTAAATACATCGTTGCAATCGTCTAATTTTTATCCACAGTTTGATGTATATATGTGATTTGTACCCAATACCATGTATTTTGCGGCTTCCGAACCGATGTTTCTTGGTAACTTTTTTTAGAAATCCCTCAACATGGTTTTATATTCTAAAATATGGGTTTTTCGGCTTTCTATGATCGGGACTTTTTTATAACAACATCTACTTTTCAGTTTGCATTCTGTTGCTGATATGTTAGTCGATCCTAATTTTAAGTATATTGTGATCACCATTTTAACTATCCAACAGTACTATATAACTCGTTGGACCTCAATGGTATCTAGTTAACTAACCATCACATCACGGGCAGTAGGATAGATACCTGTCTGAGCCAAAAAAGGAGGATGGAATTGTGTGTGATGAGTTTGTATTCTGATGAGAGTTCTATAGTGGGTACAATCACTATTGTTCTTGTTGAAGAAAGTCTTCTCAGTTGATGTGTCACTGCAGATTATCTTCTGATGAGACATGATAACCTCCTTATTATCATAGGCAGGTTTACAAGACTAGAAGTTGTTGGGTTTCCATGTGGTTTCCAGCATTAGCCTTTGATATGTCCAAGCGTATGGCAGTGATCATATATTGGATGACCCCTTGGGTTCACACTGGAGGTGATGTGAGACTCCTACTCCATGTGCTTCAAACCAGTAGCTATATTGACACGAATCCAGAAATCATTAAGTCTAATGGGAATAAAGCAAGGGAGTGGAAAGGTTATTCTAGAAGGGCTAAAAGGGCAATTGTGGAAAGTGGCTAGAAGTTAGTTAGAGAATAGCATCTTTAAAAAGGGAAGGAAGGGGAGTGCGTAGGATATCTTATTTTTTTGCATTATTCTGTTTGATTGGCTCTTGCATCATGCATTGAGAGAGGGATTCTCCCTGGATCTTTTCTGTAATTCCGTTTCACCTTTAATTCCATCAACCTTCTTCTTCCCTAAATTCACTGCTAAATTTCCTTTTTCCATCATATATGTTCAGTTTGATCCATAGAAGGCTCTCGAAAGGTTGATTCACTTAAGAAGGAACTTTCACACAATTGATTTCTCACCCCAATACTAAGAGATTAGAAAGTAACTAATCACTTGGAACTGAGAAGGAGGTAAGAGATCAACTGAGGACAAGGAAGAACAGAAAATCCCTAAAAAGAGATGTGGGATTGGGGAAATTGTGTGAGAAATATGTAGAATTGGGAAAGAAGGCGCAAAACCGCCTTTAATGGTCTATTTATAGGGAAAACATGCACATCTGGGTCATACAGGGTTGAGATTGAATGTGGTTTGATCCCCTATGCTCTGAATAACTCCATGTAAGTTTCCCTAGAATTTCACCTTTCTTATAGAGGGCCTAGCCCTATGCCAATGCACAAGTATTCACTGGGTATTAGACTAGAAGGGTGTACTAGTCTATTTGTATTAAAGTTTGTTAAGTATGATTAGTTGATGGTTAAGTTTTGGTTAGAGTAGTCAGCTAACAGCAGCCCAATGCATAAATAGGTGACAGATGTATCATTCAATTCATTCAGGAAAGTGAGAAACTATCTCCCTCCTCACTAAATTCTTCTTTCATAATACTGGGAGTCCAAGCGTAACCCTACGGTATGGCAGTGTGATACACACTGGATTGAAATTGACGGTAGATTGATCACGTAAAACAAATTGTAGGGTTTCYAGACTTTCGAGAGGTCTGGATTCTCTCCTCTAGAGCTCGCGCTCTCTCAACAGATTTTACAAGTGGAAGAAAACAGAATACCGACTCAACTACCACCTCACTATTTAAGCAAAACATTCTTCTATTCAAAACAGGAAAATTACCAACCTATCCCTCCCTTATTCRTATTTAAAGCAAGACTAGACAAACTCAAACTAGTTCCTTCTTCTACAAGTAAACCTCAAAGGAGGTTTATCAATACTCCCCCCCCCCCCCCCAAAAAAAAAATTCACCTTGTCCTCAAGGTGGTGACTGGGGAACTGATGCAGAAGTGGCTCTAAATTTTCCCAAGAAGCTTCAAATTCAGACATTCCTTCCCATTTCACCAAAACTTCAAATTGACCCACATCACCATTCGGTAATGGTCTCATATCCAGGATATCTTCAGGTACGGCCTGTAACACCAAATCTTCAGAAATCTGGGTCGGAAAATCGTGAGTCGAATTACAACTTCCCACAGCCTTCCTTAACTGAGAAACGCGGAAGACCGGATGGATCTTTGCTGAAGTCAGTAAATCCAAACGATATGCTACGTTCCCAATCTGCTCCAATACTTTGTAAGGACAATAAAATCGAGCTAACAGCTTAGGACTATTCCCCCGTACCAGCGATTTTCGTCGATATGGTCGCAACTTCAAGAACACCCAATCTCCTACCAAAAATACCTCCTCCTTTCGTTTCAAGTCAGCATATTGTTTCATACGAAATTGCGCTTTAAGCAAATGCAATTTCACTTCATCAAGCATTTCCTCCCTATCAGTCAACTCTTGATCTACCGCTTGCAATCTCGATGAAGTCGATTTATAACGGAGCAAAGGAGGAGGATCTCTACCATACAATACTTTAAAAGGAGACTCTTTAAGAGCTGTATGATAGGCTGTATTATACGAAAGTTCAGCCCATGGAAGCCATTTGCACCATTGTTTAGGTGTAGATGACACCCAACACCTCAAATATTGCTCCAAACAGCGGTTCACTACTTCGGTCTATCCGTCGGACTGCGGATGGTACGCTGAACTGAACTTTTATTTTGTTCCCTGCAAACGGAACAACTCCTTCCAAAAATGGCTAAGAAACACCTTATCTCGATCAGAAACCACCGATTGAGGAACCCCGTGTAACTTTACAACCTCTTTAACAAACGCTTCGGCTACTATTAGGGCATTGAAGGGATGTTTTAACCCAAAAAAATGGGCATACTTGCTAAGCCTGTCCACAACTACCGTAATCGAGCTCATACCGTTTGACCAGGGAAGACCTTCAAGAAAATCCATAATAATTTCGTCCCACACTTTCTCAGGCAATGATAAGGGTTGCAAAAGACCAGCCGGGCTGCCACTAAGACTTTTATTCCTTTGACACACCGATGGAACTGTTCTTCGATTTATTCTTCTATATTCTTCGATTTATCCTTCTTGTCTCACCAATAGGAACTGTTCGTATAAAGAACCTGCTGCCGGAGAACGAAACTGCCTTAACAGCAGCTGTTTCAAATCCTCCCACCTGGTAATAGGATGTTGTTTATGCTCCCATTGAAACCATTTTAACGCATCCCCTTCAAACGAGATGAACGACACATCGATTCTTTCTTGTTGACTCAACTGATTCAAAGCGAAGTAACGCTCAGCTCGCAAAATCCATCCATCTGGATCTTTACCATCGAACACAGGAATCTCCAATTTACGCCCCTTCACAGCTAAAAATCGATTTTGACTGCTTCGATTATTGTCTCTTTGATCAAATCTGGCGGCGGCATCTTCATCAGACGAGTTGGTAGCATTCGACCTATTGACAAAATCGTTCCTTAATTCTTCAATTTGCTGTACGATTCGCTCCAGACTCCTTTCAATCGATCCCATGCTGCTCTTCAAATCTTCAATTCGATTATTGGCACTTCGAGTCGTAACATTCGCCATGGTCGATTGGAACGGGCTCTGATACCAATTTGATACACACTGGATTGAAATTGACGGTAGATTGATCACGTAAAACAAATTGTAGGGTTTCCAGACTTTCGAGAGGTCTGGATTCTCTCCTCTAGAGCTCGCGCTCTCTCAACAGATTTTACAAGTGGAAGAAAACAGAATACCGACTCAACTACCASCTCACTATTTAAGCAAAACACTCTTCTATTCAAAACAGGAAAATTACCAACCTATCCCTCCCTTATTCGTATTTAAAGCAAGACTAGACAAACTCAAACTAGTTCCTTCTTCTATAAGTAAACCTCAAAGGAGGTTTATCACAGTGTTATGAAAGTTGACTTTTTTGTTTTTTGGCACTTTGATCCCGTTCTTCTTGCCACACTTGTTTACCTGCAATTACATTCAAACTAAACAAAAAAGGGTCACATCTGCTTAGAAGTGAGGTATATGTGCATGTTTAATGATGTGGTAAACGGTACAACAGGGACCATCAATATAGTTCATAGTTATGTGTCAGGCACCACATGAATTATGCTTCATGTCATGTCCTCATCAGTTTTGTTACGCCTAGTTTTATGAGGGCTCATGTTTTATGTTTGTCATGGTCTTAGATTTGTGAATGCACGAGTTTACGCTGATATCCTTATAAGTGTCTGAAGGACCAATAACATTTTCCTTGTTATGATACCGACATTGCATACAAGAATCAGTTGTGGGGAGATTACAGGTGACTTCTGTCTCTTTTTGCAGGTCAAAGATGTGTATTGAAGATGGATCATCATTGTGTATGGGTGGTGAACTGTGTTGGGGCACGCAACTATAAATTTTTTCTATTGTTCTTGGTATTTACTCTTCCTCTTGATATTTGGCAAGGTTTTGATTGCAAATTAGTAGGCAGCTGTTAGTTGTCAAGATGTCTTAGGTCCAAGGGCTTAATGTATCTTACAGATGACATTAGAGATTTTCTTGCCTATCAGTGAGCTGTTTTAGAAGGGTTTCTGTTGACAATAACTCTTGTGACAGTTTTTCACGAGTTTCTCTAATTGCTTAGCTCATGTATTGTTGCAGGTATATTGTATTTGTGAATGGTATTTGGTTTCTAGATTTTTTCCAATGTTTTCATTGAAACAAAAATTAGCATTGATCATCAAAAAGCCTCTCTTTTTTTGATGTATGCCTAAAAAGTAAAGATTATGATACTTCATTAAAGTGACTACGCTTGTTAGTGAATTTCTGTAAATGCAGTTGTATACATTTCTGGAGACCACAATGGACACTATAGTATTGCTGCCCAGTTTCTTGAAGTTCTTCAAAGAAGCCAAAGGTCACTCAAACTCACCAAGTGATCTTGCTCTAACCTTTCTGGCTTTTGGTACCTTCTCTAACCAGCCTTAATGATTGCAATATCTGGTGTAGTAATTTTCATACTCATTCCCTCCTTTTTTCTTGATAGAGTTTGTATGTTGATGCAGTTTTAAACTTAGCTTTCGCACTGAGCCTTCTTTGTTTCATAATAATGCATGCGTCTCTTCTTTCAAGCAATACCACTTCAGTAGAGGTAACTCACCATCTTCATTTCAGTTATTGATCTGTGTATATAACATCTGGGCCTGAACAAGTGGAAGAAAGGTGGCAGCATATGATATTGTTTTCAATGTTATATTGGATATCAAATGCTCCTTTTTACTCCAATTCGTCTATATTTTTTTTCCAACAGGTCTATGAGAAAAAAGGAATAGTGAGGTGGAAATATGACCTGGGATGGAAGCAAAATTTTGAACAGGTAATCAAAGTCATGTTCAACATCTCATATGTATTCTTGAAATGGTATGATAAGAGATGATGAACATTTTAGGTGTTTGGAAGAAGAAAGGCGCTGTGGTTGTTCCCTTTATTCGCCAAGGAAGATTTGGAGAATATACCCGCACTTCATGGCCTCAATTTTCCTACATGTTCGGATGCTGAATCATGACCAGTTATAGCCAACATAATTTTATGTAGTAGAGGTTTATCATGTAAAAAGCAATTGCAATTGCAAATCCAAATGCATGTTGTAACATATATAATTATTTCCAATTGGCACAAGTCTCTTCTTCTGATTTGGTTGTGAAAGTGAAAGTATTAGATCCATTATTGTTTACTGGATGACTTCAAAGTGTAGAAGCCTTAGCGATGTCTTAATAAGGCTGGTTCTATTAGGTTGTTCGTGTAGTTTGGTCCTAAGTTGTATGAATTATTCTCGTTGGAAAATTATTTGGTAAAACCACAAACCGCATAGAACGATATTAACTACATAAAGGTACTGTGAAAGTTCTAAAATGTGTGTTTTGATTCGAAGTTGTGCGGTATTTTGAACACCTGTGTGAAATGCTTGCTCGGGACTGGTGCAAAGTAAGCGTTGAAGGTACCTTCATCAAGCAAAAGAAATGATTTGATGATTTAAGGAAGTTGCGTATGTATATGATTGAGGCGGAGGATGCAAGCGACGTCGTACCTACATGTATATATTCATTTGAATGAACAATATAGGCGATGTATGCGTGTGGGTTTTAACACTTTGAATCACTTTTTGCACGCAAATGCCTATATATATATATATATATACACACCAGAAGAGTATTCATGCAATGCAGCAAGACACATCTCGATTTTAATGTTATATTTTATTATTTGTCTTTGTCGATGTTATAATATGATTTTATGTGTTTTTAAGAAACCAATAATAATTTTATTTTTGAATAAAATATAAATTTGAAGATATCATAAAAACTTTAAAAAAATATATATCAATGTTAATATCAAATCAACTATTTAAAAGTT